CGAACTACAAACATATTAACGCCAAACATTCGGTAGAATTTATAGAATATTGTAAAAATTATGGTCTATTACCAACGTTAATTTGTTGTAAACGACAAATTGAATGGCTGCAGAGAAGTTGCTGATTCAAGAAGACCCTGGCCTCTACTTCTTCATCAATCAAGGCTGTCTGACTGTCGACAACATGGACGACAAAGAGGAGATGGAAATTGTCGATGTTAATATTTAACTTCATCCAGCAACTTTAAATAATTTTTATTTCAAAGAGCCTTTTTAAGATCACTTAACATTTTTCAGATTTTAACTTCCTAACTTCTGCTTGAAAGATGTAAATAACATCAATGTTTTCACCTCACAGAATGGTTTTGGAATTTTAGGATTTTTGGAGGAAGAGAAGATGAGTATGTACAAGACGACGTGTGCCGTTCTCCATTTTGGGGAGATGAAGTTCAAGCAGCGACCCAGGGAGGAACAAGCTGAATCTGACGGCACTGCTGGTATGGAGATGGCGATGAAATATTACTTGCAAATATTAATATACTCTATACACACACACACATATATATATTAATAGACATATATACTTATATATGCAGTAATTTAAGAAATCTACCGAATTTCTAGCGTTGGATAGTCTTCTGTTTAATTTCTCAATATTTCTAACCAAATTCGATTATAGGTCCTATACACACGAGAATAAATTGGAGGGCTGTATATCATATACATATATAATGTTTGAAATTAATACCTAGGTACTTATGCAATATTATAGGCAAAATTTATATGTTTATCTACCTATTTATTTATAATATATTATTGTAATACATATGAATTTAACTAGCTAACCACAAAAATATAAAATGTCTATAATAAAAAGTAAGAAATAATAATAATTATATTACGCATACAACATAAATGCATCGTAAAAATGTTTATTTTATGAATTAACAGAAGCGGAAAAAGTGGCATTTTTGTTGGGTGTAAACTGTTCTGATTTGCTGAAGTCGCTGTTGACTCCAAAGGTGAAAGTCGGTAACGAATACGTCACGAAAGGACAAAACAAGGACCAGGTTAGAAACGTTGTTTGGTCGGCAGCTGTTGTGTGGTCGAGAGCTCTCGTGTGGTCGGCAGCTGTTGTGTGGTCGGCAGCTGTTATGTGGTCGGCAACTATTGTGTGGTCGGAAGATTCGTGTGGTCGGAAGTTGTTTGTTATGTTGTTGGTTCGTTTCCCTTGGTATCGGGTGATTTTTTTTTAATAGAAGATGTATGTATAGAACGCAGAATATAAAATAATTTCTGCATGGTTTGAGGACGCAGCACGTAATTCGTAAAAATATAATTTATCTTTCTAGTTATCTCTTATTTCTTATAAGAGTTTTATGTAATAATATTGCTAATGTTTTTGCTGCTTAATTTCATTATTTACGACCAATAAGGAATAACTTTTAGGAGTATTTTAAAAATAGAATATTAAACATAAATTTCCTAAAACATTGCTTTCATTTTGTTTAAGTAAACAGGAAATCATTTTAAATTTCTATTGTGCTAAATTGGAGAAATTCATTGTTTACTACATTATCCCATCCATTGCAGCTTTTAAGTCTATGTTCAATCATTTCTTCTCATAACTTTACTAAACTTACTACTGAATCTTTCTCTGTATTTACTCCAATAAATCTTTTAGAACTAACTAAAATTATTAATTCTATGTCGTCTACAACCTGTTCTCTAGATCTACTTTTTTCTAATTTACTTAAAGAATTCTCTTCAATATTTTATCCAATCATTCTCAAATTAGTTAATTTATCTCTTTCCACCTCTAAATTTCCTACTTCTTATAAGAATTCTATTGTTATTCCTATTCTTAAAAACACATCCCTAGATCCTACATCTTTATCTAATTATAGACCTGTAACTAATATTACTTTCATCTCTAAAATAATAGAAAAAGTTGTTTTTAATCAACTCTCATCCTATTTAGACTTTAACTCTTTGCTACCTGTATCTCAATCTGGTTTCAGACCTGCTCACAGTACTGAAACTTCTTTACTTAAAATGCACAATGATATCCTTCTCTCTAGTGACAATAGTAATCTTACTCTTCTTCTTGCTCTTGACTTTTCTTCAGCTTTTGATACTGTTGACCATACTATTCTCTTGAGACTGCTGCATCTTTCTTTTAATATTACTGATTCTTGTCTATCTTGGTTTTCTACTTATCTCTGTAATCGTTTTTTTTCTGTTGTTCTCAATAATTCTACTTCTAACTCCTCTACTCTTACTTTCGGGGTACCTCAGGGTTCTATCCTTGGCCCTCTTCTATTTATATTCTATACTTCTGAACTACCTCGTATTATTAATAACTTTTCTTTCTCTAGTCAACTATATGCTGATGATTCTTATATTTATACTTTTTTTCCTCCATCTAATCTCAATAGTGTTCTTCATAATTTATCTCTATGTCTTTCTTCGATTATCGCTTGGTCTGACTCTATGTGTCTTAAACTTAATCCTTCTAAGTTTGAATTAATTTGTTTTAATAAATCTAAACACTCAATTACTATTCCTCCTATTATCTTACCTGATTCTAAAACTCTTGATGTCTCTCATAAGTTTCGTAGTCTAGGTTTTATCTTTGATTCTACTATGTCTCTCTCTTTTCTCAGATTAATAGTGTTGCTAGAAGCTCTTACTTTCATCTACGTAGAATAAAAAAACTTTTGCCTTTTCTTGATGATCCTACTCTTCTCCTTCTTGTTACTTCGTTAGTCTTATCTAGGATTGATTATTGTAACTCGCTCTACTATGGTCTTCCTGACTCTATACTCTATCCTTTAAGTAAAGCTTTTAACTCTGCAGCTCGTCTAGTTGCTCGTGCCCATTTCTTTTCTTATATATCTCCATATCTTGTTCTCTTGCACTGGCTACCTATAAAATATAGAATAATTTTTAAAATTTGCACGTTCATGTATAAGTCTCAATCTAAATTATTTCCTAAGTATTTATCAGATATATTAATTGAACCTAAACGCCCCGGTTTACGATCGTCTTCTTCTTCTCGCTTTTTCTTAACTCGTGTTAAACACTCTTTTGCCAAATCTGCTTTTGCTTTTTCTGGTCCTTTTCTCTGGAACTCTCTACCTACTTCTCTAACTACTTCTCCATCACTTGCGAAGTTCAGAGCGGATCTCAAGACCCATCTGTTTTCAAAATTCATTGAGGAGCGCTGTTGAACATCGCGGAAATAGCGCTTTATAAGCTAATTGATTGATTGAATTGATTGATTGATTGATTTCGAAGTATATGTATGTATCATAATTTCTTTCTACGCCACACCAGGTTGTATACGCGGTGGCTGCTCTGGCAAAGGCGATATACGCTCGCATGTTCCTGTGGCTGGTTAGTCGCTGCAACAAAACGTTGGACACAAAACATAAGAAACAGTACTTTATCGGTGTACTCGATATCGCTGGATTTGAGATCTTTCAAGTATGAAATTTTTTCAAAAAAAATCTTAAATTAAAAAAAAATTCAAAATATTTAAACTTATTGTCATGGATCATTTAATAATTTCAAATGTTTACGATTTGGTTAACATTTGCTGAATTTAATAAATATCAGAATTTTTTCATTTACGATATTATGAGTGTGTCAATTGTATCAATAACAATAATAACAACTAATTTATAATCACTAATGACTTGAAACCAGTACAACACTTTCGAGCAATTGTGCATCAACTACACGAATGAACGCTTGCAACAATTCTTCAACCATCACATGTTCGTCTTGGAGCAGGAGGAATATAAGAAAGAGGGTTGGCCACCATTTACATTTTTTTCAAAGTTATTCAACAATTAAATGATTTTATAAAAGTTTCACTCATTTCATAGCAAACTATATACTATATATATCATGGCATTATTGCTACAAATTTTATATTGGAAAACTTTAGAAATAAATGACTAACTCATTTTCAAATCAAAGAAATCACACGAAAAGCGACATGTCAAAAATTATTACATTAAAAAGACCATTTCATTGAGTTTTGAGTTTTAAAAGGCAAATCAGGCAAATCAGGCAAATTATTAGAATATTTTTTTGTGCGGCAGCTTCAAACTCATTGGATTGTCCTCTTTTTTCAATTTAAATCAATTGTTCAAACCAGGACCGCCGTGAGGCCATGTCAGCCTAGTTTGAAACTTGAGGCCCCAAGATCAGAATTCTTGCTATCTTAATTTTTTGGAAGAAAACTAAATGTGTTTTCTAAGTTTCGTAAAAATTACTTAGACGCAAAATTTCACTCCAGCGAGATATCAGTTTTACCTGGATGTATTGATGTAACTTAACGTAATGTACAAGTACAACTGAGTGCATCTGCAGTGTTTTGTAATTTTTTAGTGAATTTGAAACCAATAACACTTCTTAGCACTTTAGCAAGCCAAAACCTAGCAAATATTTTTCCAAGTGAGGTAATTGCATTGAGAATCTTCTGCACCCTGCCTTTGACGGCTTCGGAAGCTGAGCGATTGTTTAGTCTTTTCTCAAGAGTAAAAAACTTTTTGCGATCTACCATGAGCCAAGAGCGATTGACTAGTTCAGGAATGCTTGCACTGGAAAACGATTTAGCAAAATCTATAAATTTTGATGATGTGATTGAAGACCTCACTAATAAAAAAATGTATAAAAATTCAGTTGTAAATCAGAGCCGTCTAATTGTTTTATTACTAGTTTTCTGATGTCAAATAATGTTAAATAAAGATGAGGGGCTCAATATGCATTTAACCTTGGGGCCCGGTTTGGCTGTCGGCGGCCCTGGTTCAAACATTAACAAGCATTAGGAATCAAATATTAGCAAACATTAGATATCAAACATTAGCAGACACTAGGTGCTAGGTATTCAGTGATGTTCAATTCAATCATCCTATTAGGTATTCAGTGGGAGTTTATCGATTTTGGAATGGATCTTCAACAGTGTATTGATCTCATTGAGAAGGTGGGGATTATTTTTCTTTTATTTTTTTTACAATGTACTGATAAACTGAGACTTGGCTATTTTTAATAATTCAACACAATGATTGCAGCGTTTCAATTTGTTATTTAATTGTCCGTCAAAACTTCTTTGTTTAGTTGATTAAAATTTATATGGTTTCTTCTTAAATTAAAGATGAAAATATTTTTTATTTATTTTTTGTAAATGTACAATAAACAATCATAGACTACTCAGTTTCAGCCACATCATTAAATTTGCCACAAACAAACTTGGACTAAAATCTATAATTGTTGTTACAGCCCATGGGCATACTGTCTATTCTTGAAGAAGAGTGTATGTTTCCAAAAGCATCTGATAAAACCTTTTTGGCAAAACTTTTCGAAAACCACATGGGCAAGTCACCCAACTTTGGAAAACCGAAACCCGTGAAGAATGTTCGGTTCGAACCTCACTTTGAAGTTTACCATTATGCAGGAAATGTAAGTAAACAGTTAAATTTTTCAAAGTTAGATTTTTATAGAAAATAAAACATCAAACTGTTATTGAGTTTACAAATTTTTTATTGAATGTTTTCATAATTTTTCTAATTTTTTTGAAAAATAGAAAAAACTAACTAAAAAATTAACAACGATCCAACAAATTATCCTAGGTCGCATATAACATTCAAGGCTGGTTGGACAAAAACAAGGATCCAATCCAGGAATGTGTGGTGCAGTTGATGCAGGGATCGAAAGAACCTCTCGTCTCCAACTTTTTCAAAGATCCAGATGACGGTGAGAAAGCATTCAGCAAGATTTGCCAGATAATATAGTTTGCAAAATGTCACTTTTAATCCAACATCTCAAACATGCGATAATTATTTTGACGTGTGTCTGGTTTTGTTTATGAAAAAATAAAAACAATCGTGTATGATGGAGTGATGATGGAGTATTCTAACAGAAATAATTGAATTATCCAGGGGATTCGAAAAAGAAAAAAAAGGGAACAGCATATCAGACAATTTCAGCAACGCATAGAGTAATTGCATAATTTTTTATTGGTATTGGTTTATTGAAAATGTTTAATTTCACATTTAAATAAATATAAAGTGATGTTTTTTAATGTTGTTACGAATAGGAACAATTGAACAAGTTGATGGCTAACTTGAGAACCACCCACCCCTCCTTTGTTCGTTGCATTATTCCAAATGAACAGAAGAAACCAGGTTTCCCCTTTTTATTGATAATGTTATCCTTATCCTACATACATTTTGTAACACTTTTTTATTAATGAATTTTCACCGCAGGTCTCATTGAAGCCGGTTTAGTCTTGCATCAGTTGCAGTGCAATGGTGTGTTGGAAGGTATCAGAATCTGCCGCAAAGGTTTCCCCAACCGAATGATTTATTCTGAATTCAAGCAAAGGTTAAAAAATCAAAATAATGGAAATAATTGTTTTTATTGTTTCTAACTTTTTTAGAAATGATTTAAAAATAATTTATGATAATTAATTAATTAGTTCAATTAATAATATTATTTTCATTTATATATATATATATATATTTAATCCCATTAAAAAATTATCTTTCATTTTCAATGCTGCTTCTTCAACAGATACTCAATTTTGGCGCCAAATGTGATTCCTCCTGGTTTCGTTGACGGAAAAGCAGTCAGTGAGAAGGTTCTAGCAGCTCTTCAGTTAGATCAGAATGATTACAGACTTGGTCACACCAAGGTATTTTTCAAGGCTGGTGTTCTCGGTACTCTCGAGGATTGGAGAGATGAGAGGCTGTCAAAGATTGTTTCTAACTTCCAAGCTCAAATAAGAGGATATCTCATTAGGCGAAACTACAAGAAACTCATTGACCAAAGGTGCCTTCATAATTTGTTATAAATGTTGAAAGACGCCAATGAATTTACCAAATATTGTCTATTTAACTTCATGAATTAAAACTATCAGATTGGCATTGAGTATAATTCAACGAAACATTCGTCGCTGGATGGCGGTGCGTAACTGGCAGTGGTGGAAGCTGTACACCAGAGTGAAGCCACTTCTTAGTATTGCTCGCCAAGAAGATGAAATGAAGAAAAAAGAAGAGGAGTGGGAAAAGACGAAAGAAGAACTCCAGAAGATGACCAAGATGAAGAAGGAACTTGAGGAACAGAATGTCTCGTTGTTTCAAGCTAAAAATGATTTGTTCCTGCAGTTACAAGCTGAACAAGATAATGTTAATGATCTCAATGAGCGAATCGCACAGCTTGTCAACCAAAAAGGTTTGTCCTATTAACCGAATTAGCAAAACTACAACATTAACTGATTTGATGCTATATTTCTGATTTTTCATTAATCAATTTTCTCTTTATAATTCAAATAATAAGTTATAATGCGATATATTGTCATTCATATTTAATTTTAACCCATAAACTACAGCTGTTAAGAAGTTGATTTACATTTTTACATTTTAATTAATTTACTTTTTAATGTAATTAGGCGAAAGTTTGCAAGTTAATTTTTTCTAATATCCTAAACCTAAATTTTGTTAACAGGCAATTTTGAAGAACAACTGAAGGAGTTGGAAGAAAGGTTGAGCGATCAAGAAGGCTTTTCTGAAAGTAAGATAACATTTCATAATACTATTTCATAGTTGAGTTGTTTTTTGTGAGCGTAAAGTAAAGCATTTTTTCAAATTATTTTTTTAACAGATCTTGAAAAGTTTAAAGAAAAACTTGAAAGTGAAAATGCAAATTTGAAACGCGACTTAGAATCTACAGAATTGAGTTTGAAGAAAGCTGAACAAGAGAAACAGACCAAAGACAATCAGATACGAACTTTAAACGAAGGAATGGCAAGGCAAGATGAAATCATTGCCAAACTTCAAAAGGAGAAAAAATCCATGGATGAAACTATTAAAAGCACCCAACAGTTATTGGCTGCCGAGGAAGATAAGGTCAACCACCTCAATAAATTGAGATTAAAGTTGGAGCAGAACATTGACGAGGTTCTTAACATTTTAAAGACTATGTTTAAAAATTGCTTTCAACTTTTTTATTATACTAATTTTATTATCTAATTAGCTTGAAGAAAACTTTGAGAGAGAGAAAAAAGTGAGAGCTGATGTTGAAAAAGCAAAAAGAAAATTGGAAGCGGATTTAAAATCTACTCAAGAAAATGTTGAAGAATTGGAAAGAGAAAAACGAGCTTTAGAAGAAGCCAACAGAAAGTACGAAAATTTTTGAATGAAATAAGTTTTTGAATCTTTTTCAATCCATGTTTAATTACGGTTAATATTTTTCCAATGGTTTAAAAATTATATGCAAAAAATATTCAAACAATATCATTATTTTTTTAATTAGGAAAGATGCAGAAATAGCAAGCTTGAATAACAAGTTGGAATCTGAACAAAGTTTGGTTGCACAGTTGCAGAAAAAAATCAAAGAACTTCTTGTGAGTAGATGTTTTGTAAATTTTCGAATGATGAGTAACTTTGAAACGGCTATTATTATTTGCCAATTTTTGTAGGCCAAGATTGCAGAGCTCGAAGAAGAGCTTGAAATGGAACGAGCTAACAGAGCTAAAGTTTGTAGTTGCTTTATTTTCAATAATTATAACATATGTTTCAGAATTTTTTTTTAAATTCAAATAAACTTGAAGAAGAACAAACTTAAACAATAAAAATAGCAAATTCAAACAATAAAAATAACAAACAAAAAGAAAAAACAGTAAATTATTTTTGTATTTTATGAAATAAGATTGAGAAGCAACGTGCCGAACTTCAGCGTGAGTTGGATGCATTGAATCAACGTTTGGATGAAGCTGGTGGAGCAACTCAAGCTCAACTGGAATTAAACAAAAAGAGGGAAGCAGAACTTCAAAAGTTAAGAAGAGATGTCGAAGATGCCCACGTGCAAAGCGAGGCCCAGCTGGCTGCACTGCGTAAGAAGCAACAAGAAACTGTTAATGAACTCTCCGAACAGATTGATCAGCTGCAGAAAGCCAAACAAAAGTTAGTCATCTCTTTTAAAATTGTTTCACTCTAAATTTAAATGATACAATAATTTATGATGAATCAAATCTAATCAATATTTAGACAAAAAAAAAGAATTTTACATTAAATTTTATTTTATTCACGTTTTTGTTAAAGTTCAGTTTACAAGAAGTATTAAATTATTACTTTTAAAGTTATTTTTATTAAAACTGTTGCATCAACACAGAAATGTTTAAATCAATATTTGTAGTGTTCAATGAATTTGCATTTAAAGTGGGAAATATAAGCACGCACAAATGTGTTTAGTAGCTAAGATTTCAATACCGTTAATTTTATGCTACATTGAAACTTTTTATTTCATTCAAAGCAGCTTTTACTTTAATTTTAGAAAGTTATTTTTACTTTTTAAAGTTCAATAATTTATAGCAATAACATTTTTAGCAATACAAATAGTTGCAAACTTTCATGAATAATTTCTATAACATCAATAAATTGATCCAATACACCATGAAAAGGGTGGAGAAAGAGAAAGTTCAATTAAAAGCAGAAACTGATGATCTGAAAACTCAGTTGAGCCATCTTGGAAAGAATAAAGTTAGTTTCTTTGTTTTTGGGTAATCTACTTTCTAACTCTTAAACATTTTCGGCGAAAACTGTTTTATAAAATCACGAACCTCGTGCTTGCAGCCCACAAATGCCTTCTTTGTGTATTGTCACCCTTTTAATAAATTGAAACAGATATTGCAACTGAAAAATAATGACAGCAGTAATGATTTTTTTTCTTGTTGCATCACTCCGATGTATCAGTAACATACGTCCAAACGTGGGAAGTGAATCAACAAGTCTTTCTGCAATCACCGCCGACCAAATCATTGCGGCGCAAAATCCATTATGATACATAACCAGCCGCTGTTACATTGTTTTACCGTACCATTAGTGTATGCAGTTTTGTTGTAAAGATTTGAGCGACGATAAATTTATTTTATTTCAATTTGAAAAAAATCAGGGTGGTTCGGATAAAGTAACGAAGCAGTTAGAGTCGCAGCTCTTTGACATGACATCTAAGCTCGAGCAGGCATCGCACGACATTCAGGACCTTCAAAACCAGAAGAGCAAATGGACTAACGAAAATGCCGATCAACTGCGACAGATTGAAGATTTGGAAAGTCAGCTGAACCAAATAACCAAGTTAAAAATTTCATTGGCTAAACAACTTGAAGAAACAAAGATGGTGTACGAAGAGGAAATGAGAGCGCGTTCCAAATTTCAGTCTGAAGCTAAATTGTTGCAAGCAGATGTTGAACAGTTAAAAGAACAGTTGGAAGAGGAAACGGTGAGATATTTGTATCACTCCATTGATATATTCAATTTATTTGGTAGTAGATTTCAATAAAATATTTCTATTGTTTTTTCATCAATGAATCAAATGATGAATTGAACAGGATAGCAAAGCCGAACTACAGAAACAACTGTCCAAGGCAAACGCAGAGGCGGCAACTTGGAGACAAAGATTTGAAAGTGGAGAGGGAGGTGTTAGTTCAGAAGCAATGGAAGAAGTGAAGAGGAAATTTAACACAAGGCTTCAAGAACTGGAAAGTCAATTGGAAGCTGCTCTTGCAAAAGCTTCAAGTTTCGAGAAGATCAAAACGAGACTGCAAGGCGAGATTGAAGATTTATCTGTTGAGATGGAAAGGGTATGTTCAATGTATATGTGCATATATTGTATTTATATATACTTAAATAAAAGCTTAATGAACAACAATAACAATCGGAATTGACATGTGATTAATTTTTTACAAACCATTAGGCCCAAGGTTTAGCATCTCAAGCAGAGAAACGATTACGTTCGTTTGACAAAACCATTGACGATTGGAAACGCAAGGTGGCAGATCTGCAACAGGAGCTCGAGAGTGCTCAGAGGGAAGCAAGGAGTAATGCCGTGGAAGTGTACAAATTGAGGGGACAAATTGAGGAAACGCAAGAAACCATGGATGCTCTTAGAAGGGAGAACAAGAACCTCACAGGTTGGAATTATTCGAGTGAAAAAATTTCTAAAGTTTTTTTTAATTTTTCCGGTAATTACAAACTTTAAGTTAATCTTTCTAATAAATTTTCTGTTTAAATGTTTTTTTCAATCAAAAAACAGTAAATGATGATTTTATTATTTATAGACGAGATTCACGATCTGACTGATCAGCTGGGAGAAGGGGGCAGGAGTGTGCATGAGAACGATAAGTTGAGGAGGAAGTTGGAGATGGAGAAGGAAGAGCTGCAAGGTGGTTACTCCTATCCGTCTGATCCGTTTCATCTTTTTCGATCATTTCAGGCATATGTATTTGTTTACGATTGCCCGTTTTAAAAAGAATAACATTAATTTATCGCTTTCATGCTGGCATAGTGTAAAATGTGATAGCAGGTTAGTCATGCTTTCGAATTAGTTGCCATCTTTTCATAATGTTATTTTTGCAATTTAAATTTTAATTACTTTAAAACATGCCGCATTACGGTAGTCCTTTTTTGACACTGTCTGTTTTTCTTTGTTTAAATTATTTCATTCAATATTTTACAAAGCTTACCACGCTACAACTTGTTCAAAATTTTTTCTAGACATATTTTTAATGACAAAAAATTGTAACTATAAAAGTTTTCATCTTCCCGCTTAATTAAAAATAACATAAAAACCAACCCAATATTTTATGCCTTTAAACACTTTTAGTTTAATTGTTATAAATTGTAGTTTTGGTTTAATTGTTATTAATTGTAGTTTTAGTTTAATTCTTATTAAATGTAGTTTTAGTTTAATCGTTATTAATTGTAGTTTTAGTTTAATTGTTATTAAATGTAGTTTGTTTGCTTCAATGAGTTTTCACGATCTTCGTGCAGGTGCACTGGAAGAAGCCGAGGCAGCCCTGGAACAGGAAGAAGTGAAGTTTCAGAAATGTCAGTTGGAGCTGTCAGTCGTCAAGCAGGAAATCGACAGAAGGATTGCCGAGAAAGATGAAGAGTTTGAAAATACAAGGTGGGAAAATTTATTAATTTAAACTGAAGACGTTTTGAGACTACACTTTATTTTTATTTATCGTACGATTCAATTTCAGTCTTTTTAAGCTGCTTAACAATTGTGATTTTTGCAAAAATTATTAAAAGGCTCTTTTATTAAATTAAAAACTGCATACATTATAAAATGAATGACCAACAGACGAAACCACCAGAGAGCTCTGGAATCCATGCAGGCGAGTTTGGAAGCGGAATCTCGTGGCAAAGCAGAAGCCATGAGAGTGAAGAAAAAACTTGAGCAAGAT